ACTTTCTGCATAACAAAATACATTGGCTACATTCCTTAGAGCTCGCTGAATTGCTTGCATTCCACTGTCCAAGAGGAAAGGCCTTTCATAGAAAGGAGTAAGTCATTCGCTTGTGCTGTGGAACAGTTGTTGCCAGAAAGTGAACCAGCAGCAACAGTGATTGGAAGCCAGACACCCCATACCCGCTAAAGAGTTCCCAGAAATGCAAAAGTATATATTTTTACATATAAAAATACAATCTTGTATCATACAGCCCTGTTGGACAACATCTGCCACACTGAAGGCTTCTTTGAATCTCCTTTTGCTTAAAGCACACCTGGCAAGAGTTCCTTGTGTGACATACGCACTGATCAAAAACGATTGCTAGCTTCCCTGGCTATAAGCCACAGCACACCATCAACAAAGTGGTGCATACCCTTTTTCAAAATGGCAGTCGCACTCTCTTACTTGCCCACAAACACGTTCGCATATGGGCTACCCTGATACTGAACCCAAGTTGGAATCAACAATAGCTATTAGGTGGGGTTACTTCAACCTTCCCTGACCTGGACATCTTTCAGATGTGTAGACTTCAACTCTAAAAATTCTCAGCCACAGTCATGCCTACTGAGGAATTCTGAGTGTTAATCCATACATCTTGAGGATATATAGATCAAGGAAAGTTGGAGTCCTTTATAAAAGTGTGAATGAATGGAAGCAACCACTTATGGAGAAGGGGGAAAAGCACCTGAAGAGTTCTAATGGGGAAATAAGATGGAAAGGATTCTATTCTGTTGCCTATGTATATTTCTTGATTGCCATATTTGCTCACCCTCTTGTCTTCCAGTTGACATAACTAGAGATGCTACCAAGGTTAGATTTTAGATACAGAGATGAGCAAAACATTGAATTAATTACTAATTTACAATTCTTTTCTCATGGCTCAATTTTTCTTAAGTTTAAAGTCAGCTTCTGAATGAAGAAGCCTCTCAAAAGTGTCTGTCAACCAACAAGGGAAAAGTGCCCCTATGTGTATTGTGGAGCCCACCAAATACAGGATATTTCTTGGCTCTTTTAAAAACCAACTTTCTCCGTTTTGTGAATCAGGTCAGGCTGATTATGAGGAAAACTCACTGGTATATTTCTCAAACAATGTGGATTCACGTGATCATTTTTTGCCAGCGTCTTATGGGGTTTAGCTGATACTCTCATTACAGTATTTCAACTGCTCCTTCCTTATGTCATAAGCAATTAAATTTACTTTGATGATTTGGGGAGCCATTCCCATCTCTGCTGCTTCTAAACCTGAAAAAGCTTTATTTCAACATAAGTGTACTGCGTGACACTGTTCTTGAATCCATCCAAGAAACAGCCTCATTCCACAAAATCTCTTTCATCACACAGGACACTGATACTGGGGAGGTCCCCCCACACAATAAAGCAGTGACAATATGGGCCTGGCTTTTGTGCTTCTGGATGAGAGCATCTTTAAAATCAGCTACAAGCGTGAGACCAAAAAGGGGAATGTGTTGTTGAAGCAGACAACTCAAGATTCAGGTAGGTAGTAAATGGCGTAAGTTTAAGACAACCAAAGGAATGGTAACATGGTTTTATTTAGTACTATATTCTCCTACCGGGCCAGCCTCATTTATCTTTATACATGGGTCTTTATTTGATTTCAGTTATTTCCTGTTATTTCACAATGCATGTAGATTTGTGGATCACACAGCCTTAGATTGATATTAACCAGTATTAACAATAGCGAATTTTGGGATGGTAAACAAGAAGACATGAACTTCTAGATAGCAATTCACAATCCAAGAATTGGGCTGGATTCATTTCGGCTGGGACAATTGGAAGTTTTTCTTAGATTATCCAGTGTGTCACACATTTTATTATTGCTGTGTATGAAGCAAAAGGTTGGGTAAACTTGGGAAACTGATCAATCCTTATACATATACCTATGTGGTATTGTGAAAGAAGAGAACCCATCTGAATTTAAGCCAAGCAGCTGAAGGAATTCAGACTGTGAAAATGGGTATCATCCTTTTCCAACAAATATCTTTTCAAGAACAGCCTTCTTTCCCCAGATATGGATGAGTCACTCCTGTCAGTGAGCCAGATGATGAAATAAGCAGTTTAGCAAGCAGAAAGGACACTACAGCGCGTGGCAATATCACATTACTTCAAGCTTGCATTATCCACCAATCCCAACAAGGCCTACCAGATAAGAGGAAGAAGTTTATCAAAATAAAGACCCGTGGCACTAGGCTTCACTGAAGGTAGGCAACCACTAAGCTGTGTCAACCAACTGAAATTTATGGAGAGAAAAATATCTTGGCATTGCTATTCCTATCCAAAAGAAGCAGGAACAAGTTCATCAACGATGTAAAAATACCAGTGTCCTCTACTGGATGCCCTCCACGTAGGCTGGCTACACATACCAGTACCACCACCACCACCGTCATCATCCCAACAGCTGATTTACATGATCTTTACTGGCCCAACAGAATACCAATTATCCAATTTTGACACCCCCGCAAAGAAATACTGTACTGACTTTTTAAAAATAAAAATATAATTTATATATATATGTATGTATGTGTGCATGTGTGTACACACGCATGCATACACACATGTACAAAGAGATATGTATATTTGTATATATGTGTGTGGGGAGGATATGTTTTCAGTTAGAAAAATACTATGTATCAAAATATGGCAATACTATGGCTATGAATACAAAATCTCACAAAAATATTGGTTTTTTTTAAAAAAGGCAATGTGCTATGAATCTTTTTGATTGTAAATGCTTTCCCCCATATAGTGGCTGAAAATTATAGTACCACCAAAACAATTCCTGATGAGGGACAAATCTGCCCCTTTTCAACCACCAACAAGTCCATGGCTGCTATCCTCTGATACAGGAAGTCCTCCTGAGAGTGGTAGAACTATGCCAGAAGGAGAAATCATCCACAAGTCACGTAAAGCCTTCAGATACTCTGGGACCACAGCTTAGAAAAGTTAGCCATCTAGAACACTGACAAGCATCAGGGTCTTCCAGAGAACTATACTATGGTCTAGTAGAAAAAGTCACACAAATGTTTCTGCCATTGCATGTTGACAGTATAGGAAGACATAGCCAATTCCAGGTCCCAAAGACAAAATCTCCCTTAGGTTGAGCTCCTGCCTTGGTGATGACATGGAAGTGTCTATGTTCTTTTCTTGGGAACAATATGGAAGTGGTCTGCCATCGCTTTTTTCAGGGACATTTTTACACCCTACCAGGCTAGTCTATAGCCTTGGAATTTCTGCTGGGCCCCTATTCAAACACAAACCAGGTCCCATCTTATCTAGCTTCAATCAAGGTTGATTAGCTGCTGCCACCTAAGTGGTCCACTGCAGCTCATACTTGCATATTTCATTTTACAGGAGACTGTAAATAATTACCTGTATATACATTGACAGTAAAATAAGCATTTCTTGTATGCATATATTATAGTCCATTAAGTGTAAGTCTTGTGCACCTGACCAATGGGTGAAGGGACCCTAAAGCACAATGGTAGAGAGGTAAGGAGGGAAAGATGGACCTTGAAACTCCTGGCGGAGATTCAAATCCTCAGTTGTCTTGGGGAAGGAACTGAAGAGAACGTGTTGGTTATTGAGACGTGTTTTTGATAGTCTGGCACCCTGAAGCCCACAGTGAAGAAGCAATATGTAAAGATTTCTTTTTTTAATCTACTAAAAACGGGCAATTAGTCATGATCCATTTTTTTTAAGTTATAAAATGCTACACTGGATTCTCTTTTACTAAGAGTACAGGGTGGCTGGATTCATACATCACTCTTAACTGGTAACTGAATCAACCTATTCCTTGGTTTGCACAAAGCAATTATAAACTAAACAAGGGACTGGGCTGTGAAATATGCTAAGTCATCATAACAAATAATCAAGGTTAAAACTAACCAAGCTTTAGCACATTGTGCAGTTGCTAGGAATTGTGTTGTGCTGTAATGGAATGAGGGAAAGACCTTGAGTGACATTGCCAAGGGAATGGTCAGATAAGAGACAGCATAGCCTGCAAATGGATAATGGGTGGGGCAAGAGGCTCACAAGAGACCCTCCCTAGTTTCTCAGGTGGTAAAGGAGATGGGGAGGGGGAAGAACTGTATTTTCAGACTTGCAAGATTGATGTCAGCTTCGCAGGATAAACCAGATAGGAATGCCCCCCCATCTCCTTTACCACCGGAGAAACTAAGGAGCCTCTTGCTCTACCCACTATCCAGCTATGAGCTATATGTTTCTTATCTGACTGTTCCCTTGGCAGCATCTCTTTGCCCAGTCTCCTGAGGTCTTTCCCGCATTCCCTTACATGTCTGAACCCAGCCTCAACGTTGCAGGGAAAATTTATTGGATAGCATTTTCTTCTATCTCTGTTCTATTGGGACTTATTCCTTCCCCTTCCTTCCACATCAGTGTGCTTGGACAAGGGATTGAGACAAGAGTTGGCAGCCATGTAGTGGGGCTCCCTAAAAAAGTTCCCATGTTGATCAGCTCTTTAGTGATCGGAGGATGGCAGTTGATGGACCTTTTGTCACGACCTATGACAGACATAAAAACAGGGCATTCCTTTTGAAAGTCACATTTGTTCATTGATCTAATACTGGAACAAGATAGAAATCTCCCCCCTTTCCATAAAGGAGAGAGGAACATACAATACATGGAAGCAAAAAGTTTAGTTAAAGAAAAAAAGAACTACATTATTGGAGTGGGGAAGCAGAATGCAGAAACACTTGCAATGCAGAAACAACTCTCCCCCTTATTACGCTCAACAGCAAAAAAAGAGGCTTTTTTTAACCATGTGTAAAATTTGCATTTACACAATTGTCTATACATGCAGTTTGAAAGAAAAGAGGCTTTAGTTAATTTTTTTTAAAAAAGCACTGAAATCAAAACTAAAATAAAACATAAAATGGGTTTTATATTTTCAAAAATACATTAAACATATACTCTTTTCTGCAATGTGCATATTTTTATATTCTCTCTCGCGCGCATGCTCTCTCTCTCTCTCTCAATCTCTCTCTCAACTTAAGGTACTTTGGTCAGCAAATCCTATTGCTACATCCTCATATTTTCTTAAGGGTTCCCCCCCCCCCACCTTTGAAACAACAAAGCTTCCAGAAAGTTTCCCAAACCACCTAACATCTATTTTGGGATTTTTTTGTTTTGGTTTGGGTTTTTTTGGTAAACTTTACAAAATAGCACAGAGGTTCCATTTGGATCAAAGCTCACATATTTTTTTTTTTTTTTTGTGAAGGGGAAGATCACAAGATGGATTAATTGCATCTCAAGTTGCTTTCATCTTCCGAGCAACTTTTCTACACAGATGTCCTTTGGGTTAGTTATTGCTTACAGCTTTGTCTTGAAGTCACCCACGTTGGAGGGTGCATTTCTTTGGCTTGACATGGCACAACAAATGGGGGAAAAGAGAAGAAATAAACTGACATTCTCACAAGGGGAAGAACTGAACTGCAAAGGTGATGCAAAAATCTACGGTATGCATAGCTCAGAAGCCTTAGAGCTTCCATTAGCAAATAAAAAAATACAGATAAAGAGATATATCTATACTTAAAATAAACATTGTGCATCCTTCTTGTAAGACAAGAGGTACTCCAAGTTGGCCGCTTTCAAAAGAAGAGACCATGTCTTCTAGATCCAACTGATTTTATCCAAATCAAATTCCGCCTCATGGCAAACATTGGTGCTGAAGAACCCACATATAGGACAAACATTTATAAAAGTGCAACAGTTTACAAGGCCTTGATTTTCTTAGCATCCTGGGAAAAAAGTTGAGGGGAAAATTCTTGTATGGCACACCAGAAAGGGGTTTTGGAAATGGAAACACTTGGCTGAGTTGTCTTGCTATAGCACCCAGTGACAGCATCAGACAACAAATTCTGGAACGTCTTCATGGGCAAGATCCAAAGAAAAGTATTTGCTGGCTCTTTTGACAGGAAAAGCGTTTTGGATATTGATGCACTGTTGAGCTAAACAGCCATTACAATACAGGCCCTCTTCGGCCAATCCATGGCCACACCCAAATGTGTAACTCTGTGCTGTCTCTTGGCACAGGCTTGCCAGGCGCAAGAAGTCTTTTTGGTAGAGCCGAATGTCATCCAGACTTAAGCTGTGGCGGTCAGTGGAGGTCCTTGGCTTCTGGCAGATGGTCTGTAGAAAATAAGGAAAGGTTTAATTTGCCCTTCCTCATTCTGAAACCCTCAAGCTGCGTGGAACAACTCCCTTTATCTATGGCTAGTATGTTCTTTAAATACAATTTGCTCTTGATTAAAATAACCTGGTTTTTTCTTTTGTTGTTGTTGTTGATGCTCTTTGAACTTGACGTGGAGAAGAATGATCTCTTCCCACATTTAGCCTCTTCTCTAAGGAGAGAAGGAACTTGAGCAAACACATAGGTTGGGTTCAAACAATACACTACATTGTAAACTTGGGTTAACAAAACACAATGGCCGTATTCACCTCTCATGTTGGTTTCAACAAACAAATCAGTTTTTGTGTGATAGTCGTTCACACAACATGCTAGGATAAAGATTGCATTATCATGAGACACTGATCTACCAGCTACTGAGTTACATTTTAGCCTAGTGTGGCATGATGACATGAGATGCCTGAAAGGCAACAGATGAAAGATGGGAAGGATTTTTCTACCATTCCAAAAACAATGGCTTTGCCTCCATCCTTGCTATGACTAGCTGCCATTATAATGTTATGTTCTGTCATAACCATCTACCCATTCAGTCTGCAAGATTTGGTATTCCATCACAATTCACAAACCTGTGGCAGTGAATCAATGCTCTGGCCACGAAGTTTCACCACTGTCTCCGAGGAGCTGGAAGTAGACGAATTCACTTCTTTGACAACTAATCCTGAGTTAGGTGACAAGAAGATAAAATCAAAAGATGTTTTCATGATTCAATAATAATCACCCAGTTTTCATGGTACTGTAAGTATTGTTCAGAATACACTACATTTGAAGTTCACTTTTCGTACTGTACTGCATTGTAAAATCATATGGCCCTGCTATTTTTTAGCTGGTCTTTACAGAATTTGAAGTATGACAACAATGAGTGAATGGAATTAATACAATCTTCCTTAACTAGGTGCATTCCATATGTGTAGAACTTCAATTCCCATAAAGCTCACCCATCATGAGTCATGCTAACTGGGGATTATGAAAGATGAAGCCCACCACTTTTGGAGGATCCTGGCTGGAGAAGGCAGTCCTAACAGATCCCTGAAAATTATTTGAACAAAGGTGGTCAAAATTCGTCCTGCTATGGCACAATTTGGTATATTAAATACAAGATGTTAAAGTTAAGACTGATGCAGCTATTCCCCTGGAAATTGCTAACTTGAAATGAATGGCTACTTCTTATTTACCATTAATAATTGTTATGTGCATGTAATATACATGTGTGCACTTCTCCGAACCTTTATAATAGAAATAAAAAGAATATTGTTATTCTTTTGTTCCTTCCAATAAACTCAGGTATATTACCCGAATGTCCGTTAAACTTCCTGGCCATCAGCATGTCCTCTGTGATGTAAATGCAGACATCAGGGTTGACATCATCCAGAGATGTTTCGCTTGTTGGCTCAAGATCTCGAGGATCATCAACCAGCATTTCTATTTCTGAAACAAAGGGAGAATAAATGTCAGGTGAGAGGAGGAGCTGGAATGGCTACATTGACAAGACTGTGGTTACAACAAAGCATCATCTCATCTGCACAAGAGCTACAGATAAATTTGGGGAATCTGGACAATAGAATACTACTTTTTAACATTTTAGGCCAAAAAATACAAACGGGGAATACAAGACATAGGGTGCCTTTTTTTTCCAAAAATGAAAAGCAGCTGTGGGAGGCAGCAAACAAGTGCAGAGAAATAACAGAGGTAGACAATGTGTACCCCTTTTCCTTGTAGGCTCTTTGTCCCACCAGCTGTAGGACAGGATGAAATCCACATGGAAAGGATTAACAGCCCTCCACAGGACATTTCTTCACTCACGATCACTTCCTTCTGTCAGCCAAGTTTCAATGAAAAGAAAAAGAAAGAAAGCCTGACACCCACCAGGAGAATGCCTGTATGCTTTGGTTGTCTTGCATTTCCCGCTCTTTATTCTTGAGAATACAGCTTTGGGTATTTTTAATAAAAGGGGAAATAGGAAATATAGTAGTTAAAGAGATAATGAGGTAGAAACCAAAGCAGAAGAGGGATGCAGAGTCAGGCTATTTGTGCTTCTACTTGAGCACTGTCTATATCAGGAGTTTTCAAACTTTTTCAGGCAGTGGAAATTGTTAATTACTGTAAAAGTTCCAGGAACCCCTGATCAAGAGGCAAAGCCCTAGTGATAAAAATTGGCTGGGTTCAAGTGAACTCTATCAAGTTCTTATATAAGCCTAGGGTTTTGCAGAACACAATTTGAAAAATCCTGATATATATATATCAGCCTTCCCAGCCTGGTTCCCTGTAGATGTGTTGGACTAATACCCAGAATCCCTGTGGCATCCTGTTGGCTTTCTTGCTGAGAAATGATGGGAGTTGACAGCCAGCACATCAGAAGGCTAGTCTATGCTAACTGGCAGCAGGTCTCCAGAGACTCAAGCAGAGAAAAACTGCTCCCAGACTTGTTTCATAATCCCTTTTTAAACTTGATATTCTGGAACTTATTTTTAATTGTTTTTATTGAACTACGATTAACAAACATTATCGAGTACCTAAATTAACATAAATCCAAAATGCACAGAGAAAAAAAGACATAGAAAATACAAAAAAAAAATCTACTAAAAAGTAAATAAAGGACAGGTACTGTACACATACAAATTTACCACCTATGTAAAATATTACCATATTCCATGTTCTGGAACCAAATCAGGAAACAAACAAACCAACAAACCCAAACCCTACATTACTGGGACAAGATCATCAAGGATGGACCAAATATGGACAATTACCATCCTCCTGAGAGGAGTCTTCCTCCAGGCGTTCCTTCTCACTGCTTTCTACTCCAGAGGTGTGAGAACTACCATGACTGGTCATAGAGCTGCAAGCTCTCAGCTGGCGATGCGCAGCAGCCACCATGAAGTCCTCCTCAGTGCTCCGTTCCCTGGGCTTTGGATCAGTCTCAATTCCAGAGGTGTGGGAGCTACTATGGCTAGCAGTTGAGTGGCGGGAGAGACGCTTGTGCTTTATGCTGCCTGAACTACTTCCGCTGGCCCGGGAACGCTTCTCTAGTTGATCCATATCAAGGTCTAGAGCATCGCTGATGTAGGACTCGCGGTATTGTTTTTTCTCTGGAAGAATCATACATGAAAGAATGTAATACCCATACTGAACCTGGCAACTGAACTATGGGCTCAAAATAATGGTGCATGTGTGTGGCTTCATAGACACTGGGTGCTATCATGAAGTCAGAAATGCATCTATTGTCTCAAATTGACATCAAGGGGACTGCTACCTTCATTCTCCTCTAGCTTCCTGATCTGCCGCAGGACAGGCTGCAGGTTCATGTAGAGGCGGTGGCTATTGCTCAGGAGCTGCAGAAGGTGCCGAGATCGCAAGGGGCAGCCAGTGTAGTAGGTGAGCTTGCGAGCAGATGGCAGGCCATCAGGCAGAATCTCAAACCTCTTGCCCTGCGAAGACAAGTGACATATGCAGAAGTCCACCAACACACAGAGGCTTCTGTTTAGCTTGGCTTTGTATAGCTTTCTTGAAGTTCTCTCTCTGGTTGTTTCTACCTTACAGTGTTTGTCATATCATATATGGTATCAAAACATCTTCAATATAGAGTCCAACTTTGGGATTTTCCTACTCACCACAAATACAAGTTTTCCTACATTTGTCCAAGGGAAGTCATACAGCAGTTGTCTTTCATTGTTTACATTCTGAAAGAGAGAGAAGGAAAAAAAAAGATAACTTGATTGCAGTCCCATTATCTTAGAAAGTGTATGGTTTTCAAACTGAAGTAATATGCCCTGCTCATGGCATTAGCCATTATTTTTCATCTCATAAGTCGAAAAGAAACACTGGGCACTAAGCTGATGCATGGAGGTTTCTGAATGATTTGCTTGACATGGTGCTTGTCACATTGCATACAGGGTACTGTTTCATGCTGATTTGGCTGACTGATTAGACTGGGCAGATAATCTTTTTTTTTTCTGTTAAGGGCTACATTACCCTAGGGATAATCTAATGAGACTGTATTGCTGGTGAGGGTGGAGCTGGGGCCCAAAGTGGGAAGAACCTATTCATCTCTCTCTCTCTCTCCCTCTCCCTTTCTTTCTCTTTGCTATTCCGTTCTCTCTTCAACTTCCTCTCCATTTAGCAAATAAATAATAAATAAATAAATAATTTTGTTATCAGTATTTTGAAATTACATCATGAATGACAGGTTATTATGCTCATTGAGTCAGCATCTTCTCCAGTTCATCAAGTGGATCCATTTCTCAGCCTTGTTCTTTAACATCTTCATTTAGTTCCATTAGAGACCAAACCTGGAACTTATAGAAAGTCCTCCCTAAGCCATCCAACTAGCTGAACACTATCTGGGACTTTTGGCCACTCAGTTACCAACAGGGCATAAAATAATGCAGAAAGCAGCATCCATCCATCCATCCATCCATCCGTATTATTTCTTTCTTCTTGGAATGAAAGATGGCATAAATACCCTCTTCCAATTTTTCCCTAAAACAACCATTCCCAGCTCTTCAGGTAAGTTGGGCTAAAAGAGAGGGACTAGCTCAAATCATCCAGCCATCTTCCATAAATGGGGGTGGATTTGAACCTTCTAATCCATCATCTTAATCGCAACATCATACTGGTTCACGCTTTAGGTTAAACCTGCATATGAGACTACAGAATTTGACCAATGAAATTTATGACTGTTGACTCAAAATGTTTTATTCACTCAGATAATGAGCTCTGCAGAATTGGGTTCAAAGAACAGTATTTTTAACAAAAAACTTTGTACTGAGCAGAAGGCTCTTGTGCCACCATGAAGATAGCACTCTGGAGCACTTTTCAAGCACCTGCCTTGCAAAAACTAGGCTTAGAAACATCTTCCTGCTCCCCTACCCTGTTGCAAAAAAAGATTCAGTTCAACAGCAGGAGCAGTCAACATTTTGCAGATGAAGGGCCACCCTTGAGCTTTGAGCGTGCATGGAAAGTATGGTATGGGGGGGCAGAACCAAAAAAATAATTTTATTTCATTTTAAAATTAAACTCACGTAATATCATTGTTCTTGAATCAGGCATTTAATACTTTTCTCCTTTCAGATTTAAAATAAGTAGTTTTGGAGGTTTCTGAGCCCACACCTAAGGCTTTGAGGAATTATATAAGACTCTGGGATCATAGCTTGTGCACTTCTGCCAAAATACTAAAAAAGAAATGGCCTCAATCATGTCTGGACAAGCAACCAAATGGTCTATACCAATAAGTCAGTTATGGAAACGTGTACCTGGAATATTTGGATTCCCCTTGTGGTAAGCCCAAGGGAGAGGGAAGCCTCAATTTCCTTCTTGTCCTAGAAGAGAGAAAATACATTTGCATTATTTTCCCACATAACACATTGGGCTGACATATCAGTGACAACATGAGCTATACATCTTTACACTGGCTGATTGAGAAAAGAAGCATTCCTATATGAAGACCCAATGAAAGAAGAATTTGAGCTTTTTAGCACTGCAGCAGTTGGGTTGGACCACAACCCTACAATCCCCAGGAAGACCAGGATAGAGATGGAGGTGTGTAACCCACAGCTCATGGACTACATCCATTCTCTTTGAGCATCATCCCTCTGTTACCTGCAAAATTATTTTTGAATAGGTGAGATCAGCATTTTCAGCCTGGAGGGTTTTTGTACCTTTGTTTTGCTTTGGAGGGATATTTGGAGGGAAGGCTTAGCTGATCTTGCTTTCTAACAGAATAGCTAGATGTTTCTGGGAAACTCACACATAGGACAGTATCTCCTGCTTGTTCTCTACAAACAACTGGTATTTGGAAGAACACTCCTTTGCAGATAGAAGCTCCATTTAATGATTACAGCTGTATTTGAACATACCCAAATACAGCAACTAAGATGGTCAACTGGTAACACTGAATGCATGCTCTAAGAGCTCATAAAAGAATATAAAAGCAGGTGGCCTATAAAAATCTTACACCACCTTCAAGTAGGGTCAACTTTGCTGTGCAAGCAACTAAACAGCTTCTTGGGGCAACAATAATTCAGTGAATGCCAACTGAGCAATGGATGTATCACTCTAAATGGGGTAGCTCTGGACTCTTAAAAGATTGCACAGCCTAATTCAATATCTAGAAAAATCCACTCCAACATATACTGTGTCATTATAAACAATCTGAGATTGTCTCCAGTCCTGGCTTTAATATTTGGGATGTGCACAAGTAAGACATCCATAGTGGAGCACTTGGATTTGCAAAAGGTAGGCCCTAGAGAGGATTTTATCCCAATGACTTTCAACAGTTTTTGCAAAGTGGAACTCATGTTGCTATTGGGCAGCGCAAGGTTTGCTCATCTCAATTATTGGAAAAATATTCAGCAAAGGAACATATCACTCTCTGGATCAGGACCTGGGGAGCACATTTTCTTAAATGCCAGATGAGAGATTAATTCTGATCTATTCCTATTGTTAACCTATCTGTCCTCTGAGCAGTGCTCATTGCTCAACTCACTGCATAATCCACACTCCCATTGTCATTTTGAGAAACGTTTCAAACATTTGCTTGCAGAGCAACTACTGAAGGATCATGACTGCATCCAACAAAGTCAGCACCAATCCAGGTAACATCCTCCTGAATCTCAGCTGCCAGACAGCATAAGGCCCACAGCTTTAGAATTTATCACACATTTATCACCATTTTTTAAAAAGGGGCTATAAAAAACTGCAGCTCCTTGACTTGCAATTTAAATTGTGCCTCTAAGCCTACATCCAAAGAATGTTTTATTTTATTTTTCATTTTATTTTTATGATGTGAAAGAATCTTATGATAGGGAAATTTTTAAAAATTATGACTGGGAGGCATCATCCCATAAAAAGGTTAGAAACTGCCCAGCAGTGGTCACTTCACACCAAGATACACTTGCTTCAGCCTCACTCCATACCTTGTACAATCTATAATAATGGACAGCTATGTCGTCCAGCCTAACAGCTTCCTTGATGTACTTGAGATGGGCTTCAGAGGCGGTCAGAGCACACTGGTCTTTGTGCATGATGGGGATGTGCTTCAGGATGTAATCCTTTCCTCTCTTGGCCACCACCTGTCAAGAAGAAGAATGCACATTAAACATTAGGGTATGGGTTCCTACTCCCAGGCACCTAGTTGTTCAACTATTTCTTTCTTTATTTAGTCAATGTATATGACTCTGGATGGTAGACAGTGTTCCAAAAATAAAAGACAGAAACATATACAAATATTAAAATACACAGCAGCCGAGAAAACCACAGCCATCATTAGCATAGCCAGGAGACATCCCCCTTCACACTGATTGCAGCCTTCCCCTCTCCAGAGGTCTTGGAGGCAATGAAAATGGTGCTGATGCATTTCCTGGGATGTTTTCAGGCATTAAAAGATGTTTTATTTCAGAAAAACCAAGAGGTGAAGAATATAAAAACAACCCTGTCGAATCAGGCTAAGGCTTGTGTTAACTCAGCATTTTGTTTCTTACAGTGGCCAACTTCCAGGAGTTTGAAAGCAGGAGATGAAAATATACCCATCAGCCACCACTGTTCCCCTGCAAGTGATATTTGGAAGCATGCAGCCCCCAGCCTTCAAGACCAAGAGACCTGTCCTCCAGGGTTGTATGTACTAGCTGACATCCACAGCATTCAAAAACAAAGCAAAGCAGAGGAGATATTAAAACCCTCCTGGGGAGGTGGCTTAAAATGGAAACAGTGAGTCAACACTGTTGAGAGGTTATTATCTTCTTACCTGGCAAGTTTACACTGACAGTTATCTTGGGAGTTGGCAGAACATGAAAAAAGGTCAGTTCACCTACTAGAAAAGCTATCAAACCATGTTTCCATTGCACAATATTTGAAGGAAGGTTTCATGACAGGCACTTGATGCATGAAACTGCCTTATGCTGATGCGCCCCATTGCCATAAACAATAATAGGCTGGATAGATCAATTTTCTCTGTCATCCTCCAGATGTGTTGGGGCCACAACTCTCAGAATTCCCAAGTCAGCATAGGCAAAGAATTGTTGGCTATGAATTCTGAATCTGTAGCCCCAACATATCTGCAGGGCACCAGGCTGGTCTACAAAAACCAGGAGACATCTTTCCAGCACCTGCTACTTTTTTCTCATAGAGACAACAGAGATAGAACCTATTCTCTTCGGTATCCAATAGCTCATTTGCTACCACTGAATTATCACCTTAATGCAAATCCTCCCAGAAAGAGTCCAAGATGAGTTGGCCAGTTGGCCCTTGAATTCATCACCTCTCTGAGTAACTGTTCAACTATTCTTACTGTTATGAAGTGTTCCTAATATTACACCAGAATCTGCCTTCCAGGAACTTAGTGTATCATTCCATATCATACATCTTGGAATAACAGAGAAAAGTCCTGACTGTTCATTTCTAAAAGTTGCATTTTAGACTTTCCCTCCCAATCTGTCCTGCAAAATATTCCGTGAAATTACTCCTTCCTCTTTCTGCTACTTAAAAAAAAAAAAAAAAAAGGATGGAAAATTTGGGATGCAATTATGAGGTCATTTTAGCATTGATTAGTATTTTCACCTTGTGGAAGGAACAATGGGTTTGCTTGCCAATACTTCTCACTTTCTTAGCACATCACATTCTTTATTCACAGGCACAAACTAACAATGTTGTTTTGTTTGTTGATGAAGATTCTCAGTCATCCAGGTGGAATTATCTGGAGGTTGAGTCATGGCAACTGGACTTAACTTCTAAATTCTCCAGAGGGAACATTCCAAGGATTTTCTTTTGCATCTCCCTATCAAAGAATTTGGTGAAATTGCCTCCTACTCACCCAAATTTTGCACCATCCAAAATTAGGGCATATTTATTTATTTATTAATCAAATATGTATGGCCACCTGTCTCATAAAAAGCGACCCTGGGTGGTGTACAACAATCCAATAAAACAACACATATATAAAACACTCAGTATAAAAATATAAGAATCAGTATTAAATGATAAGTAATATAAAAACTAAATATACAAATCCTAGGCAAAGAGAGAATAAGAATAGCCACTTCAGCAATGGAGCCATCTAAGCATGTCTCCGGTTCCCTGGGAGCCCCAGGCCTGGTGACATAACCAGGTCTTGAGGGACTCCCGGAATGTCAAAAGGGATGGAGCTAATCTAATTTTGGGGGGAAGAATGTATGGAACTTCAAAGCCCATTTGGTTGGCTGTAGCTTCCAACAGACAGCAAGATCTGCTTCAAACATAACTGACCCTTCAAGGAGAACATGAAAGTAAGAATTTATGTCACATGCACTGAATCAAATAATCTCATGTTGCTATTTTCCCAAATTCATACATGCTAAGAAGCAACAGTGGGAGGAATTTCTGGTGAGAATGTTTATGGACATGTGGACAAGGAGAAAAATGAGACAATCAATGTATTAAATAATATAATACTTAAAATTTAACTAAACAATAATAAGATTTAATCACTAATTAAAAAGTGCTTTATAATGAGTCAAGACCACTGGTTGGCCTAGGTTTTGGATCTGCAACAAAACACAAAGGAGATGCCAATCTGTCCACCAACAATTTCCTTAATGCCTACCAGGCTCCCAACTCCATTTAGCCTTTTACATAGAAAAAAAAATCTAAATGGGCCCCATAAACTTTCTGTTTTTGTTTTTTTTACAAAATTCAAGTAATAAATGATTGCATCCCAGTGCTTTATATGGAACTGTGTCCATCTAGCCAGAAAAAAAGACTCATGGGCAGACGAAGTGGTAGGTAGTATTCTGACAGATCAGTGCTCCATAGCTGGTTGGCATCTATTGTATAAGAATGCCCACAGCATGCTCTCAAAATTCCAAAGTGTTTTCCAACCCTTCGAGTCCTCTGACCTACCCCAACTCTATCTGCTTCAATTGATAGCAAGCTCTCCAAGGTTTCTGACAAATGTCTGCTAAAGAGGATCCTTAATGATCCTCTTTTTTCAATGCAACTGAGGTAAGATCATGGGATCTGGGATCTTTCATGGGAAAACATATGCTTCATAGGACCAAGTGGTAAACAAGTAGATTGTGTTCAATCCAAGCTGTTGTCAAGCGAGGATAATAAAATGACATGTCCCATCAACTTTTCTTTGGCTGGAGTAAAAGAAAAAAAATCAAATATTCATCATGTAAAGAATCTTAGGACTCCATACCATGAAGAAGGTGATTTCTGCACAGCTCTAGGTTTGATGCAACAGTCAAATCATTCACCAAGAGAGCAAAAGCCTAGGACTCTATTTGGGCTCTAGAGATCCCTGCCAGAAGCAACATACCAGAGTCAGAATGGCACAGTGGTTAGAATACTGGACTAGGCCGGAGAAGATCCAGGTTTAAATTTACCAAAATCACAGAAATTGGGTCAGTTATGATCTTTCAGCTCAACTTCCTTCACAGGGTTGTTGCAAAGATAAAATTGGATGATGTACTGTATATATTTTGTTGTGAGCTCTTGGAATAAAGGTAGGATGTAAATTGTAAAAAGTGCCCAATCTCTACAGAGGAATGCAAATTATGATTATTCAGATATATTTGTCTGGGTGCACATAGCTACGTGATGGTAAATTCAAGGACAATGTGTAGATGGGCCAACATTTGGAAAGTTGGCTCCTTCCCCCTTAGGTCAGGCAAATTGAGGGCAATTAAACAGTTAATTGCCTCTTTCTCTACCTCCTCCACCCATGTTTCCGTGTTGCACCAAGCAGCCATGAATGTCTCTGTTATGCGTTCCCCATGACATCACCCTCTCTTTATAACTAGAATCTATTCTGGGGATGCCCACAGCTGCTGCACCCGCCACTGCTAAACATTCCAGCTGAAGCATTGCCAGCCACAAACAATCACACAGCAGCACCAGAAGACTCAGCCAGAGAAGGTATTTTGACATACTCACAAACTCCTGTTATCCCATCACTACTGTTCAACCCCAAGCATGTACTCTCATTTCAAGGGCCCTAATTTGCTCTTTTTCACTCATTACTCTCCAGCTCATACAATTATTTCAGAAACATGGGTAACAGCAGGGTACCTCCCCTTCCTGCAACAATGAATGATTCCTTTGATATGGTTACAACTAGACCACCCTAAAAGAGCACAGCCAAATGTCCAAATTACTTGCTTCCCTAGGGACAAACATGCAGCTGAGATAAGTTATGATCCGGGACCAGGAATCAAACATCTAAATAAGAACATCTTGCCTCTGAAGCAAGAGCAGCACATGAGGCCCCACTACCTGACACAGAAGGGATCTACCACTCTCTCACACATCACGCCCTCCACACATTCTCTCCTCATACAGCACCACCAATTGACCTTGGCTACTGTATCAACATCTTCCTATGATGGTTTTCAGAATTTTGGAAGCAGCTTGAAGCATCCCAGACATGTCATTCCAAATGGAGTTTTTTATTGTGAAGACAAAATTAAAAGAGGAGGTTTTGTTTGGAATACCACACCTGGGACATTCAAACTACTTTTGATTCAGAGGAGTTACTTCTGGAAACTGCTGAGCATTGCCTGGAATTACACAGTCCACAGGAGGTTCCACACGGTCTGGAGGGGGAACAGAACGTTCCAGAGGCTCTAGAACATTCTGTTCCCTAGGTTTTGAATGGCTGCTGCCCCTATAAAATTGACATTTCTGACACAAGGCTTTAATGTAGGCTATAGCTCTGTGGCAGAGCACATGCTTTCCATATACAGGTAATCCTTGCTTGACAATGGTAATTGGGACTGGCAACTCCATTGCTAAGCAGTCATAAAGCACAATGTCATGTGACCATGCTGACTTATGACGGCAGTTGCAGCAGTCCCAGTTGCTGCTGTTAGGCAAATCCTGCACAGTTGCGGCATCCTGCAGTCAAGTGATCGCCATTTGCGACCTCCTGCAGGCTTCCGCACTGACTTTGCTTGTTGGAAGCTGGCAGTGAAGGTCGCAAATGGTGATCATGTGACCCTGGGATGCTGCGACTGTCATAATTGTAAGCTGGTTGCCAAGCACCCAAATCGCAATTGTGTAATTGCGGGGAGGCTGTGATGGCTGCAACTATCAGGACTCATCATAAGGCCCCCTCATTCAGTGCCATCGTAACTTTGAATGGACCACCTGTAGAATATCCCAGCTGAATTCCTGGCATTTCTAGTCAAAAGGATAAGGTGGCAGGTGATGGGAAAAGTCCCTTCCTATAAATTTGGATAACTGCTGTTATAGTACCAAACTGAACTTGATTAGATGGACAGGGTGATGTAAGGCAAGTTGCACCTTGTTCCTCCCTAGGACAATTCCTTCAACAAATAAGGTCCAAAATATTACATTCATAATCTTCAAACTGTGCCCCCACAGAAGCACAGCTCATTTGTTATCACTAAGTTTCCCTTGCCAAGCACTGTTTTAAGGAAGCCCTAGTTTTCTTTATAGCAATGTTTCTCAACCTTTACAACTTTAAGATGGGTGGACTTTAACTCCCAGAATTTCCTAGGCAGCCATGCTGGCTGGGGAATTCTGGGAGTTGAAATTCACACATCTTAAAGTTCCCAAGGTTGAGAAACATTGCTTTATAATGTCTGCTCAATTCACAGAGATCCAACAGGCCTCAACAATGCCACGTCTGAAATTAGCTTTTTCTAGAATTTTTTGCAACATGCCTCCAAAGTTCTTGGGGAAGGCCAGGAAGCCTGAAAGCCAATTTTACACCTCACATCTCACCCTTATCTATAGCTTCTGAGTTCTTGTCCAGCTGATCTTAAAGCCATACAACATCTTATAAAATTGGTCAACTGGGGCTACCTCCTTTGATATTTCTGCCTTCTCCACAGGTGCTATTGAGTCTCATAATTCCTTGAAATGGTTAAATGTATCAACAGCAAAATTGATCAAACAGCCATACTTCCTCCCTCCCTTTTACCATTACAAAAACTAAGCAGGGAGGAAACTCAACAGCCAAATTTCTGCAAAAACCAGCTTAGCTCTGGCAGGAAAGGCCTAGTGTGCCCTTCTGCATTTCTCCCAGCTGATGGGGGGCACTGGCTGACTCTGTACAGGTAGTCCTCACTATCTGACCACTATAGTGATCAGAATTTTAAGCAAATCAGAGCTGATTTTACGACCTTCCTACACCAGTCATTAAGCGAATCACCACAGTTGTTAAGTGATCACATGGTCGTTAAGCAAATCACATGGTCCTTAAGTGAATCCAGTTTCCCCAATGGACATGTTTTCGGCCAGAATTTGCTTAACAACCACATGATTCGCTTAACAATTGTTGCAAAAAAGGTCACCAGTTGCGATCACGTGATCACGGGGGTTGTAAAGCACTTTCCCCAAGGCTGCTGTAACTCTGGACCATCGTTAAATGAATAGTCATTAAGTGAGGACTACCTGTACTGAAACAACACCTGCAGCCTGGAATGGTTCCAAGCATGTCTGACCCCAACACCACCACAGACTTGGTTTGTATTTCAGCATTCAAAGTAAACAAAGAACGTGCCCTCGAAGGCAAGAACATGGTCTTGGAAGGTGCCCTTACCCAAGCAGGAAAGTATGCCTCGGGTTCAAAGTATTTCCCAAAATGCTTGTTCCTTTTGAAATTGCCCAGGTCAGCTTGCAATGCAAAGGCCGCCAGGAGGAAATAGGCCTCTTCGCGCAGCATGCACTGAGAGCGCAGGACTTGTTTCCTCAGATGCCAGTAATAATAGTAGCGTGCAGTTCGGTCACTGGCCGAAGATGAGAGGAGAGACAACAGAGAAGAAAAAATGAGCAAATCATCAAGAAAAACAGAGATCAGGAGCACGCTGTCTGGGAATACTCTGTGTGCTGGTCTCATTTTGCAGCTTTTAGATGCTTGATGGCAGAGCGTTCTCACTCTTATCCCTGGTTTAATGGTATATTTTGCCTGATTTATGTGCTGGAATATGGATTAATATTATTCTCCCAAACCTTTAGTAATGCCTTAAGTCTGATGGGTAGCGGCATCTCCAAGGGGAGAGAGGGGTTGGGGGCCAAAAAAATCAAGAAGGCAGCTGCAACCACATCCCTGAGGTCACCATTTTGACTTTTTGTGTCAGCCCTTTGAGGTAGGCCAAGTCAGGAAACAGACACTATAAGAAATAGCAGAACTCTATTCTATCGATATAACACAGTGTTTCTCAACCTTGGCAACTTTAAGACATGTGGACTTCAACTCCCAGAATTCCCC